TGTCTGTCTGTCTGTCTGTCTGTCTGTCTCTCTCTCTCTCTCTCTCTCTCATTCTTTCTCTTCCCCACTTCCTGGAAGCCATGATATGTGCTGATCTTCTCCACCATGCCCTTCCCACCCACCATGATGGACTGAAACCTCTAAGGCCATGACTTTTTATGTCAGATAGTTTGCTAAAGCTACTTCAAAGTCTGACTAACACAGAAGGCGAAAACATCTTTTCAGCTGGAAATAGGAAAAGAGGCAGAGGTGGAAAATGAGTGACTGTCAATCTTCCTGATAGGATTTATTTTGTACTTCCAGTCCTTTGCCAAGGTCTGATTGTATCTTGGCCTTCTGATTACTTAAAACGTCCACATAGTCTTATACTCAATCCTCCATTTTCTTCAGCTAGCTCCCAGTGAGTTTCTCAACTTACAAACAAAATGTACTGAGTTCTATGGTGTCTCTTAGCACTCCATCGGCTCCTTGGGGAATGAAAGCTATGTATTTGTCTGAAGGGCTGAGCAGATTGCTTTGGTAGATGCCCAAGACGCAATTGCTGAATTGAATCAGCAGTTCCTACTTCTCCCTGACCACTTTCACAGGCTACTCACTCCTGCTGAGATGGGAGTAACTGGTGTATAGAAAGGATGAACAGATAAGAGTGCAAATAAACACTGTGCCAGCTACTCATGAACTAAGAGTCCGATGGGAGAAAAATGATCTTCTTAAGAGAATCACTCATCCATTTCACACTGAATGTCCCCTAGTCCTTTTCCAGATACTCAAAGTCAGAAAGGATTGTCAACAAGCACAGAGGAAGAGACCCACCCATACTTGAAGGAGAGAGAGAGAGAGAGAGAGAGAGAGAGAGAGAGAGAGAGAGAGAGAGAGAGAGGCTTCTCATGGGTCCCAGATTGCTCTGGTGGAAGAGCCCTCTAGTGGTGAGAATGAGCAGATCCATCTAGACTGACATTCAGATGTACACACCCATGTACACACCTACACATCCGATTGAATGAAAAGATGAGGTCACCCCCTCGTAAGTGGGGAGGCATTGCCAGGAACTGACTGACGGGCTCCCTGCCTCTGACTCCTACCACTTTCATGTTCCAACGCACTCCACAGACAGGTTCAGGACTTCCCACACTCTGAACTCAGATCTGGCTCTGGACAGGAGTTATAAGAAGTAAGTAAGCCTGCCTCACCAAACCCCTTCTCTCTCTCTCTCTCTCTCTCTCTCTCTCTCTCTTTCACACACACACACACACACACACACACACACACACACACACAGCCTAAAGCTCTCTTCTCCTTTTTTGCTGATACTGAGGTTTGCACTCAGAGGCTGGTGCTCTCCCTTAGCTCTTTCACTCAAGGCTGGCACTCTGCACATCTCTACTTCTGGATTTTTGCTGGTTAATTGGAGATGAGTCTCATGGACTTTCTGTCTGAACTTTTTTTGAACTATGATCCTCAGATCTCAGCTTTCTAAGTAGCTAGGAGCAGAGTTGAGCCATCAGTGCCTGGCTAGAGCTCCAATCTTATATCTTGCATCCTTTTTCCTTCTTCACAAAAATGTGCACATCCTAATTATAATTCTTTTTTTCACATACTCAAGCTCAGCCTTTCAAATACCTGATTCCATCTGCAGGACTCCTGGGCAGCATATCCTGTATGTCTGGGCTGATATTACAGAGCTGAGGCCTGGAGATGGAGTGACTCTTGCTATGCTGTGGGTCTCTGGGGTCACACTCTCCCTGAGGCCAAAGCCCTTGACATTCCATTAATAACATCCTGACTTGAAAGAATATCCTTCATTTTCCAGCAGGAATAAGAGAAGAAAATCCTGGAATGGCCTTTGGTCATAATTCATTACTTAATGCTCCTTAAGTTTCTGGGGATGAGAAAGGAAATGTTCACTCAGTTTATCAAACCTCCCACGAAAGACTAACTGCTCCTCCATGTTACATATGACCTTCTCCTTTGCCTTTTCTTTTTTATTGCTCATATTTGGGGATTATCTTTAAGCAGTTGTACAAAGAGTTTTCAGTTCAGCACAGCCATGTATGAGTACAACGCATCTTGATCAGTGTCACCTCTTCCATTAGTCTCAATTCCAACCATCCCTTCAGATTATCTGGTTCAATGTTCCCATCCTCTCAAGTTACCTGGTTCCATGTTTCTTTTTCTTTTAAAGCTAACATCAATCAAGGCTGTGTTGAGAAGCAAAATCTCCTTATAGGAAATCAACATTCAATAGTTTTCCTGGGCGTTTACATGCCACTCTTATTACTCTTCTGGAATATGATTAGCTATAGCCCTGGCTCCAAGTTTATATGTTTCCTTGTGGTTATATGTTGCAAATCTTCAGCCCACCCTGACAAGTACATTTGTAGCTCAACACATGTTGGTGTACAAACCTACACATTCAAACATCCACTGTCTATACATACTGGCCCACATCCATGCAGGCACACGGCTGTCTATGTTTCTATAACAAACACATCCACGTGATCCACACACTGCATGCAAGTATAGACACACCTGCTTTAATTCTGCTTGCAGGTATTTACACATCTGCTTTACTTCTACAACAAATTCACAGGTAGTTGGAAGTCATAACACAGCCCAGGGAAACATTCAGACATAATCCTATCACAGCTATACTTTGAGAGCTATGCATACACTTGTGTATCTAACATCCAGAACCAGGACTCCAAATGACTTTTAACCCCAAAATCAAAGTAGCAAAATCCCTGAGCTGTGGTGAGCTGCCTTGGATAACCCTTTGATACACTACTGCTACTCAGTTGTCTGAATACTAGTTCCCAGACAGACAGAGATGGCTCCTTACTTCCCATTATACATGTGTCCAGTTAAATAACACTCAAATACAATGGTTGGATGTGAACACAGCTTGGGAATTGCAGACACAACCCAACAATACTCAATTCCAACCCTGCAATCTCTGGGTATCAGTTATGCTACAAGAAGAAGAAGGAAAAAAAGCTCAGTGTATGCTACAATACATAGTACCAAAACGATGGTTCAAGGTGCTACTTTGCAACTCTAACTGTCTCCAGGAGGAGAGATCTAGGGTACAATAGTAACTGCAGCTGGCATTAACAGAGAAAGCAGATCTCACCCCACCCGCTTCATGGTTTGACTTACACAGGAATGTTTACAAATGAGCCCCACAAGGACTTTTGGAGAGAGCCTGGGTCACTCCTTTCCAGTTAAAATATTTAAGAATTGTAGACAGAGACCCAGCTCTTACATGCCTTTTGCCCAGGATCTCTGATGCGTGAAGCAGAGACGATGTACAGCTAGCTCCTGTAGCCCTAGAGAAATACACGTTCCGTCCTGTTGAATGCGTGTTCCTGTGTGTATGAATAACTCCGGGTCTGATCTGAACACCGTCTCCCGTGTCTGCCCGAGCTCCAGAGGAAAGGAGGGTAGACATATTGGTTTGTTCTCTGGGGAACTCCATCGAGACAGACTAGACAGAGGCGGCCGTGACAACACTTTTGACTGGCCCAAGTGAGCCATAGAACGAGCCTCCGGTCTCTTTAAGAAGACCAACGTTCTCCCTAGTGGACTTCAGCGGCTCCCACAGCAAAAGGCAAACTTGCCTGGTTGTGCGCCCCGGCATGGGGGTGGGGATGGGGGGAGGGGACTTGGGAAGGGGTAGATTGGAGAATCTGTGCTGGGTGGGCGCTGAGCGCGCAGCCTGGGGTGCGCTGCAGCTTCTTCCCTGGTCCCCTCTCCTTTAACCCTTCCCGGGGAATCGGGAGCCACCAGACTTGCTGCTGCTGCTGCAGCGCCCCGGAACCACGGCGCTGACCTCCCTGGGCTCCCCCAAACTTTGCGCGGGGGGCGTAGGCTTGATCGAGCAAAGCCGATCCAGCAGGGTGGTTCCCCGTCCCCCGAACCCCCCCCCCCACACACACACACCTTCCCAACCCCGGGAAGGTTCAGACGGCCCCATCCCCCAGTGCAAGAGGCTGAGAGGGAGCTGTCCAATTCAGCACCACGGGGACGCGGGGTGCAGGCGCCGGGCGGGAGCTGTCCGTTCAGCACCACGGGCGCGGGGTGCAGGCGCAGGAAGGGAGCTGTCCGTTCAGCACCACGGGCGCGGGGTGCAGGCGCAGGAAGGGAGCTGTCCGTTCAGCACCACGGGCGCGGGGTGCAGGCGCAGGAAGGGAGCTGTCCGTTCAGCACCACGGACTTGGAGCCCGGGAGGCGGAGGCAGAGGCCGGCAACAGGCGGGGAGCTGACCACGGACCTCGGTGGAGCCGCGCGGCCCCCGCCCTCCCCGCCAGCCCCCGGACCCCGCCGTCTTCTCTCCAGTTTGCGCGGGGGTGTGGGGAGCGGGCGGAGAGCTTTCCTGGGAGGCTGGGGAAGCAGCGAACACTCTTCTCGGGGACTCGCCTCTCAGCAGTGCTATTTTTTGCCATCCGCCCTCACCCCGGCACACGCGCCTGCACGCACACTCGCACACACACGCGCGCACACACGCGCGCACGCACCACCACCAGACCTCTCTCTCCTCTCTCTCTCTCCTCTCTCTCTCTCTCGCTCTCTCTCGCTCTCTCAGTCTTGAGTCTCCCCGGGCAGGGGTCGGGGCTGTCAGAGGAGCCCCGACACATCGCAAAACCCAGCTGGCAGCTAGCTCCAAGCTCTCCGAAACCATGCCCTGCACGGACCTTCGTCCTAGCCAAGCCCCCGAGGAATGAAAGGAACTCGGGGATCCTCCGGAGGCAGCAATGAGGTGGACCAGCCCCCTGGAGCCTGCACCCTTCTGAGGGCCATAGACGAAGACGACCCCGGGAACTGGAGAGAGCTCAAGACAGGAAATCCCAGCTTTTGCCCAAGTCCCTGTGGATGCTGACAAGAGGAGATCGGGAATTTTGGAAAAGCTTGTCCTAGGTTAGCCAGCGGCAGAGAGATTTCCCCCTCACCGCCCTCCCCACATACACACTGCTCTGGCACTGAATATCCCCCTCCACACCTCCCCCCAGCCGTCCAGAGTACCATGAAGAATTATGAGGATGTGTGACCGAGGAATCCAGATGTTAATCACCACTGTAGGCGCCTTCGCAGCTTTCAGCTTAATGACCATTGCAGTGGGCACGGACTACTGGTTATATTCCAGAGGCGTGTGTAGGACTAAGTCTACAAGTGATAACGAAACGAGCAGGAAAAATGAAGAAGTCATGACCCATTCGGGGCTGTGGCGAACCTGCTGCTTGGAAGGTATTTACAAATTCCTCTCCCTGCCTTGAAATAAGCCTGCTGTTGCTGCTGCCGCCGCTGCCAGCCACCGCTGCGGGTGTGCTGGTGTCTGTGGGGGAGAGGGAGGCAGTGTTTGGGGAGAGAGGAAGAGTTGAGATTTGTTTCTGAGGACGTGTGGATGCACAGATGCTGCTCCCAGCATGACCGGGTGTATGTGGGATGGGATGAGGAGGGTATGGGTCTTGTTGGTTGTTTCTTGTGCACGTTTTGTGTGAGTGAGCTTGCGATGTGCTCACAGCAGCTTCTGCGACTGAGAGATCTTCAAATCCCAGATGCCTAAGCACACTGTGAACTGCTTAGAGCTCTGGCTAGAGAAGGGAGTCTGTGGATTTGCCGAAATCGTATTCCAGTGAGTGGGGTGGGGAGGATTGGGACAAGGAGCAAGGCAGACAGGAGGATAGCCAGGCAGTGGTGGCAGTGGGGTGGCGGCGGCGATCGTGGTCTGATGTGGCACATTCTGAGCTATTACCATATCTCTTACCCGACTCTTCATCAGTTTCTTCTGAGTTTGGTCTAACTATATATTACCATGAATCTCTATGACCAAGTTGTTCAGGGTCACATACATGAACCCTACCGCCCCCCCCAGGCTCCACATACATTTACAGAAAAAAAAAACCCAACTCCTCATTAATAACATGCTTCATTGTTTTGGATCCCCCCCCAAACTGAAGTCTTAGTGATTTGGTATCCACCTGACTTCATTCCTAAATCATTTCTCTCACACATATTCCACCAAAAAGAAAAACAACCACAGATGTATTTCCATGACATTCGGACAAGATTGATTGCTCCAAGATGTGTAGTTCCTCCTTGTCATTCTAGAAAATTAAAGGGTTTGTGGGGAATTACAACGAAGAGGAATGCAAAGCCCTCGGGTAGTCGATCTCACGGCCGAACTTGCTTCCCCCATATCAGGAGTCACTCACTACATCCCTGGGCAATGCCTGAATGTCATGGGGAGTGAGTAGAGAGATAAAGAAGGAAATCAAAGCTCTGTGGAACTGTGGGCCCCAGGACAGTCACTGGATGAAAGAGGCAGAGGGAGTTGTCCCAGGCTTCCTGGTGATCTGTGAGGCTGACCCCTGTGATAGACAAGAAAAGGGGCTTCCTGTGTGCTCCCCTCCCCTGTCTGCCATTGGCTCTTCACTCCCACCTCCAATCTCCCCCACCCCTGGGGCTGGCATTTGTCAGGGCTTCTTAAAGCTGTGCATTTCTGTAAATGACTTAGAAAATCATGCTATGACATCACTTGCTAGTGTACTATTGCATCATTCCTTGGCTTTCTGCCCAGGTCCTGACGCTCTCCTGACTTTAATGCTACTACAGTTGATTCTGGGTTTTCCAACACAAATTGGCAACTGGTAGGAAACCCAGGTTAGAAAAAGGGTTGTTTCCAAGGCAGGCAAGGGTCAGGTGAAGTCAGGAGCACTGAGTGCTTTTCCAAGACTACATGTGATCTGAGCTAAGACACAGATCCTTTCCAACCTTCCATTTGGCATCTGAAAAGTGATTCATTTCGAACTAGTGGTCTTGAGTGAATGTGATCCAACATTTACACTGGATCCGTTTGTACTCAAAAAATGACAAAACAAATTCTTTCTTAAACATTGACAGGAACCTAATGTTTGCAATTCTTTATGGTAATTCACAATTAAAGGAACTCCGCAATGCCTTCTCCCCAACTGAGCGTTTTATAACACTCTGATCTGGTGGATGTTTTGATACCTACATAGTTCTAGAGATGGCAGAAGAAAAACATAAAGATCCTCTGAAGCCCCAAACGCTCACGGGTGTACCAGTGGATCGTGTTTTACTCATTTACAATTCCATTGCCTCCTGGAATGGTACAGTCAAACACCAGTTCTGCTCCCTTTATGATAAACTAAACCTATCTGAGCAGAAATAGGGTCTAAAATCACTAAGCTCTTTTTCAGAAGTTCTCAAATGATGGCTTTCCTTTGCTCCAACACCATGATCTGCACCCACAGTGTATCTAAGAGTTGGAATCCCACACAGGCACTCTGAGGGCTAAGTGGGAGAAGCAAGAAATAGAATCAAGAGTGAATTGCATGGGGGCTGGAGATGTGGCTTAGTGGTAGAGTGATTGCCTAGCATGTATGAAGCCCTGGGTTCGATTCCTCAGGATGACATTTAAAAAAAGAAAAGAAAGAATTGTATGAAGTGATGATGTGTCCTTAAACAAGCAAATCTGAGAAAAATCTATTGCAGTCTTTACATGATTTGTGCTGGCTAATTCTTCTTTCATTTTGAGGTATTAGGTACCCCAAGATGCTTTATTTTTTAAATGGTGTGTATGTGCCAATACTGAGGCTTGTTCAGGGCTTGAGCACTGTCCCTGAGCATTTTTTTTTGCTCAAGGCTAGCACTCTACCACTTGAGCCATCACCTCATTTCTGGATTTTTGCTCATTAATTGGGTCTCATGGACTTTCCTACCCAGGCTGGCTTTGAACTGTGATCCTTAGATCTCAGCCTTCTGAGTAGCTAGGATGACAGATGTGAGCCACTGATGCCCAGCTGTAACTTTTCTTAATGAGTGAAATACATCAGGTGCTCAAGGAACTTGTGAAACCCCCTGGTTTCTGCATGGTGAGGTCTGTGCAGCAGGCAGCATCTACCCGAGGCAATCCTGGCCTCTGTGAGGATGACATTGTGAAGCCATTACTTATTAGGTAACTCCCTGTCTATCACAGAGCCACAGCATCCTGGTTTCCCTGGTATTTTAAGCATCGGTGGATAACTGGAGGATTGCAAGCTCAATTTTCTTAACATTGAGATATAAAAAAAATAGAAAATTGAGATAGAAAAGATATAAGGTTAGAGCATCCAGTTCTCCCATACTGTGTTTAAGAGTTACAAAATAATGTGGCTATTTTGTCCAAAAATGAGAGTCTGCTAGCTAGGCACCGATGGCTCACACTTTTAATCTTAGCTCCTCAGGAGGTTGGGATCTGAGGATCATGGTTCAAAGCCAGCCCAAGCAGGAAAGTCCATGCAACTTTTACCTCTGCTTAACCAGCAAAAAGCTAGAAGTGATGCTGTGGCCCAAGCCTTGAGTAAACACAAGCTAAGGGACAGGGACCAGGCCCTGAGTTCAAAAACAAGGACCAACATACACACAAAAAAAGAAAAAAAAATGAAGAAAATGTTCAAGTTTAATGAAATAATATCAAATGCTCCCAAACATTCCTAGTCATTAGAGTCTCATGAAGAGGTTTAAATAAATATTAGGCCCTTCTGCAGATACTTTGCTGCTGTAGGTCCATGGTGGAACTCTGAGAATCCCAATTTCCAGAGTATGTATGAAAGCTTAAGTGTCCATGAAGACAACATTGCTCAAAGGAAAAGAGAACATTTCTGCTTTCATTTTTATATCAAGCGGAATATAGACTGGTTACTATGTACTCATATTGTTGTAAGAAGTGTGTGTCTGTGTCTGTGTGTGTAAGAGAGAGAGAGAGAGAGACAGAGACAGAGACAGAGAGACAGAGAGAGAGAGAGAGAGAGAGAGAGAGAGAGAGAGAGAGAGAGTGCTGGCCTGGACACTATCCCTGAGCTTTTTCAGTGAAGCCACAGCTCCATTTCCAACTCTTTGGTGGTTTGTTGGAGATCAGAGTCTCACAGACTGTCCTGCCCTGACCAGGGGGAGCGGGCGTGGGAGGGTTTCAACCTGCAATCCTCAGATCTCAGCCTTCTAAGTAGCTAGGCTGACAGGTGTGAACACTAGTTCCCAACTTCACATGAAACTTTCTGTCCAAAATTAAGAAGCTCCAGCTCTGGGTGGGGGGCACAGCCATGCACATAGGCAGAGGACAGGAGGCAGCAGACAGGCAGGATGACAGCATAGGGCACATTCTGAATGAACAAAAAAAACAACCTATGGAGAGAATCCCACAGTGAGCAACCAAAATGATTGCCTGAGTCATTATCAGGGAAGCACACAAGGCATCTACAATGCCGAACCCCAACCTGCCGTGCATCTTCAGCGGCAGCATGAGAACTAAATGATAGCATGTTCCAAACGAGGCTTGCTCATTAAGAAAACCTGTGGAAGTTCTAGACTCAATCAAAGCAAGGCACTCAGATCGAGGCTAAGAACCCTAGGAGCTAATCACATCTCTGTCACCCACAGCGATGCAAATTGTACATCTGGTGTCTCTCCTTTGGACTTCAGTTTACCCAATTGAAGGTCAAATTTGCCAGGTGCTGGTGGCTCGCATCTGTAATCCTAGCTACTCAGGAGGTTGAGATCTGAGGATCATGGTTTGAAGCCAACCTGAGCAAGAAAGGCTATGAGACTCTTATCTCCAAATAACCACCAGAAAACCGAAAGTGGCTCTGTGGCTCAAAATGGTAGAGCACTAGCCTGGAGGGGAAAAACAGCCAGGGACAGCAACCAGGCCCTGATCAACAATGGATCAAATAAATAGATAAACAAACAAATAAATAAATAAATCTCAAATTGGGAAGAGTGAATCCAGATGTCTCCGTGGCCCTAGAAGTAATGGTAGGTGTGAAGCAAGCTGTTATGGCCCTCTTAATTTGTTTCTATGGGAGAAGGAGGCAATGCAGCTAGAAAGACAAATCGCAACTGAGATCTGGCTCAGTGTAAGGTCAGTAAGGAGCAATGGGGACAATGACCAACTGGAAGATACAAACACCATCGAAATGGTAGCAGTTGCTTCAGTTCCACTGGCTCTTACCCGAGGAGGTATGTGACTACATGTGGCCCAATAGAAAAGCCTGAGGATGTATGTGATTACATGTGGCTCACACCTGTCATCCTAGCTGCTCAGGAGGCAGAGGTTTGGAGAAGTGTGGTTTGAAGCCAGCTGGAGAAAAAGCTTGCATGATGCTATCTATCTCACCAGACAAAGCTTGGCAGGATGGTTCATGTCTGTCATCTCAGCTACAGTGGGAAATGTAATTAAGAGGATT